CAATTTTTTTACAATTTGGGCAAAACACTTACTCAAACAGATAAAATACTTACAAATAACAAGTGTACGGGTGCCCAATGCTCACCCCCAGCTTCAAGCCCATCCCCTACCATAAAAAATTTTGTTTGTTCAAAACAAAAAAGAGTGTTTATTTAGAGAGCTTAAAAAGGTAATAGTTTTTGTTATAAATTTAAAAATTTATTAAAGAAAAATTTAAAATTTTGCTTTTAAATAAGTTTTAAAAAAATTATACATTTTAAGTTTTGTAAAACATATTTAAAAGACACTTTAAAAGTTAATTTTCAAATTTCTTTCTAATAAAAATTTTAAAATTTATGAACAAAAAATTTACCTTTTAAATTCCACCAAACTTTCCCTCAATTTTTTTTTATTTGAAACAGAGATGTTCTATTAATTGAAAAAATATTACATATGAATCCCTATTTAAAGGCACTTAGAGCCAATTTGAAATTATAATCTATACCATTAAATATAAATGAAAACTACATTTATAACGAATAAAAACAATTATTTGTAGAAAATCATCTATCCCTAAATATTGCCCTGATAATCTATAGTGACATATATAGTGGTACGAAAGTAAAAAGAAAACACTAATGCGTGTTTGAACTTGCTAGATCTTCTCACCTATCATGTTAAGTTTTGAGGAGAATAGCTAATTCTGCAAACAACAATCCCCACATGTTAAATGCGGAATGAGATCAACACTACCTTAAAGGAGAGTTGGAGTCTCTTTCAAGGATCACCGAAGCCAAACTCAAATTAACTTAAAAGGAGAATTACCACCCATTGTCATCCTTTTCAATTTAAGATAAAAACCAATGAAAATTATTGAAAGAGCTCAAACAAAAACCCTTAAAAAATTAGAGAAACTCTCACAAATGAGAAAAAACTCTTAAAAAGAGAAAACTCACTTTTATTCACCTTTCTTAGCCACTCAAGGAAAAAGAGACAATTATTAGGAAAAAGAAAAAAAGAAAAAATAAAAAGAGAGGGTGGTGGCCATGGAAAAAAGGAGAGAGAGTCACTCATTGTTTCTAAGAAGACGAAATCTTGTAGTTGTGAAGTAGAATTTTACTGTTAAATTTCCAATACGATGAATTTTATAAATTTATAATTCAGTTTTTGTAATATTTTTATATTTAATAAATTAAACATGCTCGAGAATATATTTTCATCATAAAATATTTTCAAGATTTAAGTCTTCTTCAAAAGTAATTGCAATGTCAATAATTATGTTCCCTTCACATCTGCAATTTGTTGAGCAAATTTTCTGGAATGAAAATTTTCGCTGCTATTTTTAATAAAATAAAAATAAAATAAGGAAAAAAATAAAAAAGGATGACAAAACGACATGCCGTTTCTCTTTCTCTCTTCTTCATTTATTTGATGATGGTATGAAACGACATGCCGTTTTTATTTCTTCGTTTTACTGCAGGAAAACAAGCTAGGATAACGCTATTGGTGAAGCTCCAGGACGCCGAGAAGAGATACGGAAATGGCTCTGCTCCCTTCGCTACGGTCTGCCATCACCTACTTTTATAGACCCATGAAACCACCGCCGGCGGTGATATCTTCACTTCTTTTATCCAAAAGATTATCCTTTTTCTCCTCTCCTTCTCCAACTCCCAAAACCTTCCAAACCCTTAGACCCCTCGCCACCACTTCTCAAGGTCCTCTCTTTCTCTTTCAAACTCAAAATTGCTCACTTTTTTTCACTTTCAAATGTAAAATTATTGATACCCTTATGGGTTTTTTTTTTTAATTCGGTTGCAGAGAGTATCCTGGTTTTCAAGAACGATGAGCGCTTGGTGGGTTCGGGCTCAGTCAATGGAATCGAGCAGATTCAGAGCCAGAGCTCGAGCACCATTGCGGCCATTGTGACCTCCTTGGGAGGCCCACCTGCTGCTGTTGGCATTGTTCGCTTATCCGGCCCCGCTGCCGTAGAAATAGCGGGCCGTGTCTTTCGTCCTGCAGGGAAGAAGAAGAGAAAGAAGAAGAGGATTAGCTCTGATTCATGGAGGCCTACCAGTCATGTAGTGGAGTATGGTGTGGTTTTGGATTCCCAGGGGAATGTTGTCGATGAGGTATGGTTTTGCATAGAGTTCAAACAGTTGCTAGCTCTGGTGTGCAAAATGCAAATGCTAACATTGTAAAGTGATTACATTTGTTGGATTAAGAAGATGTTAATAGTATGATCACTGATTTCTAATATTCAATTTGTGATCATTTCTGTTAACTGTTTGAATGTAGTTGGTTTATATAGGTTTATGGTTATTAATTTGCTTAAGCTTTCAGTTTGCTGTATGCTCTTTGTTGGTTTTTACTTTGGGGTGGGGATTTTAGAAGAGCTTCTTTTTTCATTTTTCAGGTTTTGGCTGTGCCTATGTTGGCTCCAAGATCATACACTCGTGAAGATGTGGTTGAACTTCAGTGTCATGGAAGTGAAGTGTGTCTTCGTCGTGTGTTGAGGGCTTGTTTGGAAGCTGGAGCAAGACTTGCAGAACCAGGTTGGCCTGTAATCTTATATTTTGGGAGTTTTCCCCTGTTAACCAGAACTGTGGAATAACACAAGTGACAGTAATACGAATATGTGAAACTGAAGGACCATGTATATCCACTATCGGTATCTTGTTTAGCTTCCCATGGCTGGAACATTGTTGTTATGGATAGATATTGAACTTTAATTTCATTGGTTTTCCAGGAGAGTTTACCTTGCGTGCTTTCCTGAATGGTCGTTTAGATCTTTCCCAAGCTGAGAATGTCAGAAATTTAGTTTCTGCAAAGTCTATAGCTGCCGCTGATGCTGCTTTGGCAGGAATTCAGGCATGTTTCACCTGTAGAATCCAGTTTTTTTAAAACTTTTACCATGCAGTTTTTCCATAACTGGTGACTAGTTGGCACTATCATAACACTGAAAAGCTATTCCTTTTGACAGGGGGGCTTCTCTTCTTTGGTGAAATCACTGCGAGCACAATGCATTGAGTTACTTACTGAGATAGAGGCTCGTTTAGATTTTGATGATGAGATGCCACCACTAGATTTAAATCTGATTATGGAGAAAATTCATTCCATGTTCAAAGATGTAGAAAATGCACTGGAGACTGCCAACTATGACAAACTTTTACAATCTGGATTGCAGATAGCAATTGTTGGTCGTCCCAATGTTGGGAAGTCAAGCCTCCTGAATGCATGGAGCAAAGTACGTTATTTACCTACCCTTTTTCTTTCCTTTTGGATTTGGCACAGTTAGTCAGCCTTCTAAATTTCAATCCCTTTTTTATTTGTTCATTGATATTTGCCTTTTGGAAACGAAGTGACATGGCATCACACTGAGCACAATGTTTTATTTTTTAGCGCGCAGAGTGAAAGAGCAATAGTTACGGATGTTGCTGGAACTACTCGGGATGTGGTTGAAGCTAGTGTTACTGTTTCCGGTGTCCCTGTGACACTTCTTGATACAGCAGGCATTAGGGAAACTGATAACATTGTCGAGAAGATTGGTGAATTTCTCCTCCTTTCCATCCTAATGAGAAATTTTATTGATTAACTTATTCTTTTGTTGTTTTGAAGGCTCTGCCCCACAACGATGGGTGTAAAAAAAACTGGGCAGTGCAACCTAAAATAGCCTTTTTCATCTCATAAAATGCAGGCCCTAGACTATTTCCTTATTTCATTAAATTTTATGGAATCTTTTTTTCTGAAGAAAAAATAAAGGTTCATTCTATGGTTTTAATGTATGGCGATCTTTGTGGCAGGTGTAGAGAGGTCTCAAGCAGTTGCCAGGGGTGCTGATGTCATAATCATGACAGTTAGTGCAGTTGATGGATGGACTGCAGAAGATGCCAAGCTTCTTGATTGGATTCAATCCATTAAGGTAAAACTCATTGCTCTGTCTGTCTCTTAGAGTTGATTACTCAAAACTGTGCTGCCTTTTCCATGTTCTGCGTATTATCCAATATTGTTTCTTGAAGTCACAGAGTTCAAATGGCTCCTCCATCCCAACTATTCTTGTAATCAACAAAATGGATTGTGCTTCATCTACTTGTGATGAATGGGTTGAAAGAGAAGCCGAGTCATTCAGTAAGCACATTTTTACATGTGCCATTACTGGTGAAGGAGTAAAAGACTTGGAGACAGCAATCCTAGAAATTGTCGGTCTCAACCTGATTCCTGCAGGGGGCCGCAGATGGACAGTGAACCAGGTTAGCTTCCTATCCATGCCAATGTTGCCCTTGTGATTTTTTGAACTCAAGTCATTTCACAGCATCAGAACACGAGTGTTACATTTATTCTGACTTTTTCCACCTAATTCTTATTTCTCAGAGACAATTTGAGCAGCTTGTTCAGACGAAGGAGGCATTTCAGAGACTGAAATCATCAATCGAGGAAGAAATGCCTCTTGATTTTTGGACAATTGATTTGAGGGATGCTGCATTAGCCCTTGGACAGATAAGTGGAGAAGACATCTCAGAAGAGGTTTTGTCCAATATTTTTGGCAAGTTCTGTATCGGCAAATAGATAATGTTTCTCAAAACTAGTAAATGATGCAAGAGAATGCGGTTGGATGTGGGGACAGCCTCCGATGGGCCGACTCTTATCTAACTGTGTAAGTTGTGCAATATGAGATAGTAGTTTTTTAATGACCTAAACTACAGAATTTTTTTATTTCCGCTTCATATTTTTCGCAGTTTACTGAGAAACATATCCAAATTGTTCTAATGTAGAAGATTATGTCATTTTAATGTTTAAACAAAAGAAATAATAATTTTTATAACTTTCTCAAGCAACTTTCTTGGGTTTTTGATGTTTTTGTCTTGAGCTACAAATATCCATAGACAAAGTGGCATCCCTCTCCCTCTTTAAGTTGGAACTTCAGAATCTCTACGTTAAAATATTTTAAAATATTCAAACTTCTTAAAGCCTAATGGAGCTTGAGCTTGTTTATCCAAAATAAAAATAAAAGTAATGTAAATATGTAATTGATTTAAGTCGATCAACTTCGAGCTACGCTGGGATTGGCATGCGGATATATCTTGGAGAAATAACAAAAACGACGCACATTGCCCTTTGGATGGCAATATTCTCTGAATGGTAATATATATAACAGGAAGACCAGGTTTTGGAGATGGACGAAGTAGGCGGCTTAACTGTCAGAAAGAAAACTAAATAGAAAAGGAAAATTTCCTTAAAAATGTGAAGCACCCTTTATATATAGATCGATGTCGATTAAGGAGAAAGGTGCTTATGAAAAATGTGTTTCAACATCAGGAGCTAACAAGAGAAGAAGTTAAAGGGAAAGAAAAGAGAAAGAAAGCAAAGAAAAAAGAGAGAGAGAAAAGAGCTGAAAGAGAGAAAGGCTAAGAGAAGGAGAAGAAGAAACAAGGACAAGAGGAGAAGAGGAAGAAAGAAGAGAAAGAGAAGAAGAAGCATGAAGAATTCAAGAGGAAGGAGAGAGAGAAGAAAGAAAAAATTAGCCACAAGATGATGAAGAAAATGTGATCACAAATTTTTCTTTTCAGTTAATGCATTAGTTTGTTAACAGCTAACCCAACGGAATTGCCTTGTTTTCATTTAAAAAAAAAAAATCAGAAACAAGCAAAAATATATATATATATATATATATATCTAGGCTCTAGCAAATGCCCATAATTTCCTTTTTCCCCTTAATTTCCCATGAGTTAGATGAGTATTCTGTTTTTCTTTTTCCTTTTTTTTTTTGGGGTTTATTTAACTGCACATATTAAAAATGTAATTATTATACTCTTTTTATATTAATGATTATTAAAAAAATACAAAAATTGTCATTAATTTCATCATTAGTGCCACATGAACTATTTTAATTAAACAGTTACTTAAATAAAGATTAACTTTTATTTTTCAATAATAATTAAGGGAAAAAAGTATAATAATTGTACTCTTAACTTTTATTCTAGAGGCACAAGTTAAAAAAGATTTCTTTTTTTTTTTCCATCTTTTTTCTTCGTTGATATCCTAATTGCTATTGCTGAACCTATGTCATATAGTTTGGTAAAAGTAAAAGGTTAAATCCCCATTTTAGTTCCTCTATTTTGAGGAAAAGCTTTTTTTTTTTTTTTAATCTTTCTGTTAAGTTTTGCATACATAACACATTAAATAATGAAAATTTCAAAGTAGAGAAACCAAAAAATGACTAAAAATGACCTAAAAATAACCCTAATTAATCCCTCTACTTTGGAAAAAAGCTTCTTTTTGGTCCCTTTCATTTGAAATTTTCATCATTTATTGTCAAAACTTAACAAATGGACTAAAAAAGAACCATATTTCAAATTTTAGGTACTAAAAAGAAGCTTTTTTAAGTAGAAAAACTTAAAAAAAGACATTTTGCCAAAGTAAAAGGACCAAATTGAAATTTTAACCAAAGTAAATCCTTCTATATACATTTTAATGGAAATAATTTTTTGATAGTATGGATATGTAGATCATTGGCCCAACTACCTAACAAGGCATTCGGCGTGGTTTGTTGTTTTTCAATCTTCATTCTTCTTCTCGTTTTTTAATTAATAAAATATTTGAAC